CGAGTCGGCCCCGACTCATAGCAACCCCTTCTTGGGTTTCCGAGGCAGTATCACTACGGAAGTAGGATTGCCCAACCTTCCTTCCAAGGAGTGGCTAGTGTGTTTGAACCGCCAGCCTTCTGGTGAGCAGTCAAGTGCCTTAGGCACTATGCTACCAGAGCTCCTTCTAATGGCATAGTGGTTAAAGTATTTGACTACTAACCAAAAGGTCGGTGGTTTGAACCTACCATCCGCTCTGCAGGAGAAAGGTGAGGCAGTGTGCTTCAGTAAAGATTTACAACCTTGGAAATCCTATAGGGCAACTCTACTCTGTCCTATAGGGTCTTTATGAATTGGAATTGACTCAATGGCAATGGGTTTGATGGTTTTTTTTTTACTCTCATCTTCATCACCACCATTTTCCATCTTCCTCCTACTCCATGCTCTCATCTCTCCTGAGTCCGCCAGAAGTTTCCAATTCTAATGCTACCTTTCAGACATGATCACAGCTTGTGTTTTTTCCTTTTTCAGTATCCTCCCCCACCTTTGATACTTACTGCGAATGATTCCTCTTTCTGAAATCTGCCAGCATGCCAAAGACAAAATTCCTCTTCTTGGCCTGTTAAAATCGTAACTAAGAAGGAGATACATTTTATTACCTTTTCCTGTGGAGCTCTGGTGGCATAGTGCCTAAGGCATTTGACTGCTAAGCAGAAGGCTAGCACCTTATCCTACCTTTAGGAGTCCCTGGGTGGCACAAATGGTAAACAGCCCAACTACTTACTGAGAGCTTGGTGGTTTCAACACACCCAGAGGCACCTCAAAAGAAAGGCCTAGCAATCTACATCTGAAAACTCAGCCGTTGGAAACCCTACGAAGCACGGTTCTATTCCGCACACATGGGGTCCCCATGAGGCGCAGTCAACTTGCTGGCACCGGATTGGTTTTGGTTTGTCCTGCCTTTATTCTGAAGCTTTTGCCTCCTAAAAACAATGGAGTGCTGTGCTTTGTGTCCGTGTCTATTCACGTTGGGTCTCTGTGAAAATAAAAACAGCTTTAACTATGTAGTTTACCTAAATGGGACTTCCTTCTTTTTTTTTTTTAATTTTTAAGTCACTCTAAAAATATTATCATTTCTTCTTTTTTTTAAGGATTTCCAAAAATATTGCTACCAACATAATTTCATATAACTGAAACTAGTATTCAGATTTACCTTTAAAACTAGGTTTCCCCATCCCCCTCTGCTAAGGAAATGGCATTTGACTTCTCACCTACATTCATGTAGGGTCAATGAGCTTGGGTGTGTTTACTTTGGCATCTCACTAAAACCCGATGGCTATGGACAGCATAGACTAGATCTCCTGATGGTCATAAATTAGTCTCTCTGGGTACTGAGATAACAAGGGCAAACAAGTGGCAACAGAAGAGAATTAGAATTCACTGAAGACACAAGTCTAAAATTAAGAAATCAGTAGCTAATGCCCAATCTGCTCTTCCTTCTCTGAAATTGCTCTATTTTTAGATGCCACAGGAAAGTCTTTGAGAATAAAATCCACCTTGTCAAGACAAAAAAAAACTACACATTTTGTTTGTTTTTTTATCATCCTTTGGAATCAGGAAAGAAGGCATGCTAAACTTCCGACTCCTCTTGAAAATGCTGCCACCACAAAGCTTCAGCTTGAATTTTTAAATTCTCTTATACCTTCATTTGAGTTTTTGTGAATCAGGGCCTTCTAGAGTAAAGTGAATGCTTAAGAATTGACCAGCAGGCATGTGCAGTTGGTGTTTGTAGAATATCATGGAAGTGAGGCTTTTGTGAAAATTGGGATCATTTATTACCACCTCCAGAGAAATTTTTGCTACTTTATCGACCAGCTGTGTGGTGGGTGTGCTGCTGCCCTCAGTTTTTAGCCACTGACCCCAGAGTGCTATTTGAGCAGGCAGCTACGCAAGCTTAGGAAATCACACAGGTAAATTTGTGCTGGCTGTAATTTTGGCTTCTTGGTAGTAGACAGTGACCTATGAAATGATAAATCCCAGACCTTCTGTCCTTCTCCAATTTGTTCCTTAAGGCTTCTTATAGATCCCAAAAGACACTCAACTTTTGGTGTTCTTTTGCTTTTCTTACATTAGAAGGTCTATAATGATTTTCCCAAGGCCAGGGTGGGGTAGATCAGCTGTTCATTTGGCTGCCTCGTTTAGACTCTAAATGTGGAATTGTATCTCCACAGCCATTAACCATCATTGGGAATGGACACATTTTCTCCTTGAGATACTAACAAACAATTAAAATTTGAGAGAAACTCTTAGAGGGAAGCAAATTAAACCAAAATCAATCGAAACTCAGAGAAAGTTATAAGATACGGATTTCTGAATTATTCTGCATACACATATAACCTAAATTATAGACCAGATAATTTGAGGCTGCACCCTTCCTTAGATTAGCCAGAATCTGTGTGCCATCCAATGCCTGAATCCTGTCCCTCTCCATCTGTCTGTCCGAGTCTGAGCTCTCGGGCTTGTGGGCCTGTGGCCAGTCCTTTTCCTCTGCCTTTTGCCCCAAAAGTTAGCCGCAAGAAGGGAGACCCTTCCTCATCCAGGTCTTAAACACTGGCATTGTTTTCCTTTTCCTTTTCCAGAGGACCTGGGAAATCCATCCCTTGCCTCTGCACTAACCAGCCCCCTGCTGGAGTACTTTTCAGTCCTGTGAATTGTCTGAAACCTGGCTTGGTGGGGGATTGCTCTCATCCTCAGTGAACAGTCCCTCAACAGTCTGTCTCTGAATCTGGGTCTCCTTATGAGTGATGGGCACCTTCTCACAACCTAGGGCATTTCTGCTTGGCATTTGTTCATTAGCCAGTAACCTTGTTCTCCTGTCTTCCTATTCAGAAGCCCTCTCTGCCTTTAAATCTGCCCATTAAAATGCCTTTCTTTTATTTGACGACTGTGACTGGCTTTCAACTCCCAAGCACAGCAAAAATGACTGAGCCTACAACTGCCTCATCCTGCTTTTGGTTCATCCTGGGCCCAAAGCACCTCCAACGGAAGCAGCTGGCACTCTACATGGGACAAAAGCTGCTCCAACGTTACAGAAGCAGGTTCTGAGGCTCTCAAACTCTCAGTTGCGTCTCTGAATCATTCTAGTGTTCATTTCCTTTTGGGAAAATTTTAGTCCCTATGGACCTTGGGAATTTGCAAAAGCTTCCAGTTTCTGCCTTAGAAAGTAATTCTAAGTCTACATGAACTATATAAAGAGCATTTGGTGATAACTAACATTTGTTGAAAAATCATTTCATGCCAGACTCTGGTGCTCTAAAAAGTAACAACAGTAACAAGGACAATAATAGCAGCTAACTTTAAGGAGCACTGGTGGAGCAACAATTGAGCACTTGGCTGCTCACTGGAAAGTCGGCAGAAGAAGGATTCGGTGACCTGCTCCAGGAAAGATTACAGCCTAGAAAACCCTATGGGGCAGTTCTTCTGTGTCACATGGGGCTGCCGTGAGTTGGAACCAACTTGACGGAACCTAAGAACAATCTTAATGAAGACTTATTATGTGACAGGTACTGATCTAAGCATTTTACATGTGTTATTCATCAGCTACTCAGAATCTCATGTGGAATAGGTACAGCTACAATTCCTGCTTTATAGATGAATAACTGAAGCACAAAGAGGTTAAGTAGCTGCCCTAGAATACGATGCCAGAATGTCAGCCTGGCTGCCTGGCTGCAGAATCTAGGCTCTTAATCACTACACTCACTGCGTTACCTCCTGAAATCTTTGTCACAACACTACTATTAACCACAGCCTCAAGAGATACCTTGTCTCCAAAAACTGGAGTTCAACCTGCC